AAAAAAAAGCGTAATTTATGAATATGTTTTTGTCATTTTATACATACATTTAAATAAAATGAGTCTAAACTATTACCCGTTATGTGCTGTTGAGTTTTTTTCACATTGAACACGTGGCGCTGCATTCCTCCTTTTATTTTGTTTCCTAGTTTGTAACAGTGAAAAATTCCAGCTTGGAAGTTCTGTGCTGCAATCTAATTGTTAAACAATAGCAGATGAAAGTCCTGTGACATCAGCAGGAGGAAGTCACAGGCTGTTTATTTAAAGCATGTATCAGAACAGGTATTTCTGTGCAGACAAGATGTCATCAGCTCTGATGATGGTGTTTAGTTGCACCTTTTACTACAGGCTGGTAATAATGATGCAATAGTGGGGTAATGAGGTGGAAGGAGCCCAGTAATAACACAGAAAGAGGACGTTATTACTAATTACTAAAGTAATATCAAGGTCATATCATGAATCACAATTGTTTGACAAAAACCAATATTAGACTAATTGGGTGATAAGAGGCCAGAAAATGGGAATAGTGGGAAATGTAGAAACAGCATATCCCAATAAGCCAGTTACTACAGCAGTATATCGAGGACAATATGATAAACTGCTAGCAATAAAATTGTAAGAACTGTGCATTTGAATTTTTATAAACTGACTTTAAAGTGGTTGTAACCTCATAACAATAAGGTAATATGGGTTTTAGGATAGTATTACCATATTATGATGCTAATATGAATCTTACCTTACATCTGCAGCGGAAACATTATTATATGTGGCCTGTTACCTGGAAACATCTGAGATACTTTCTGAGCAGCTATACAACACTTTGATAATCAAATGTAGCTTTAGGCCACATCGGTACGTGAGTGAAAGTGATTTTTAGATGGCATGGATGCACAGCGGTCATGTGGCGAGTCCTTCATGTGCTGCTGTGCACTGCCACCCACTGCGGGTACTCTGCACTACACACCGTGGCTGTTCAGCATGTCTTATGCTCTTATGGTCACTTCACATTTTGCTTGATCATTATTTACAGTTTCATAATCGCTTTATTGGGAAATGTTTCTATATTATTATTCCAATTTTCTGGCTTCTTATCACCCAATTTATGGTTTCTTATGGCAGTTTGTCGTCTTTTCTGGTCATTTTGTGTATAGGCCTAATTGATTTAATTAATTTTATTTTTAAATCTCATTGTGGTCCCTGAATCTTTGGCTCCTTGATTTTTCTGTCTCTTTATTCCTTTAACTGTTTTGGCATTTTGTTTGTTGCCTTCTAGCTTTATACTTCTTTGTAATAGTTTTAAATGCTTATCTTTTTTTTCCTAGTAGTTTTTCATTGTATGTATTTATGCATTTGTTTGATCAGATATATTAACTGCAATATAGTTTACTACCTCTAGTCTAAGGAGCTTGCAAAGAAAAGCGTCTGGACTTCTTTGAGTTGCTTGAAGACATTTCACCTCTCATCCGAGAAGCTTCTTCAGTTCTAAGGTCAAATGGTGGAGAGTCCCAGATATAAACCCAGTGGGAGTTTCCCCCCAAACAGGGACAAAGGACCCCCTGATGATCCTCTAACTAATCACATGAGCCAAGGTGTGAAAATGGGTGTTGGTCACAATAAGCCTGGTTTTGGGTGAGCTCATTGTGAAACCTAACCCCACTCTATCATGTGATTTCCTGAGGTCAGATGGCCCAGGATGTGAGTGGGCGTTAAGGCGTCTGGGAAGGGATCTCAAAACTGGATTATAGATGGCAGA